TACGATCCTAGAGTCACATTGTAGGGAGTCAGCACAGACACAGACACACACACAGACACACACAGACACACACACACACACACAGAGAGAGAGAGAGAGAGAGAGAGAGAGAGAGAGAGAGAGAGAGAGAGAGAGATTTGGGGGAATATTTTTAAAAAGGCAGGATAGAATATTAAGGAAAAATGGAGGAAAAAATCTTAGGCAGAAACCTGAAGAGGCCACTCTTTAGAAATGCAGATTTGGTAACCCGTTCAGAAAGACTGAGGCACACTATTCATAAGGAAAATGCCTTCAGCCCTTACAGCTGATGGTGTTGTGAAAGAAAAATCTTCCTCAGGGTCCAGTCCAAGCTGGGAATAATCAGAATGGAGACTGCTTTAGAAAGAAGGTTGTAGTTTATTGAAGAGGACAGCCAGATAGAAAGATGGCTCTGGAAAAAAAACTGACCACATGGAGCAGAGTGGTGGGCTTTTGTACCTTCTGGGGCTCTTGAAGTTTTTCCTGTTCCTGTTTGAGGCTTTGTATTTTCTGTATCGTGTACCTGAGTGTGTCCTTTTGGTATTGGTGGGTTAATCCTATTATGTCTCCTGTCGTTAGAATTTAGGTGGGGGTATGTAGATTTTAGCTGTCTTTGTCTTCCTAATTTCTAGCTTCCTTGCTCCAACTTTCCTGTAGGGATTATTGAATTTGCATTTCTAAAAGCTGGCCTCTGCCTAGGACCGGGGTTGGCAACCTTGACTCTTTTATGACTCGTGGACTTCAACTCCCAGAATTCCTGAGCCAATATGGCTCAGCCTGGAAATCTCTTCCTTTCCCCTCAGCATGGCTGGCTCAGGAATTCTGGGAGTTGAAGTCCACAAGTCATAAAAGAGCCAAGGTTGCCTACCCCCGGTATAGTGTAACAGAATGAAATATAAAATAATTCTGTCCAGATAGACAGCTAGTACAATATCTCTTGACTATAATTTCTGTGCATAGCATAATATTTATTTATTAGAGACCTTTCTCTGCTTCTCCAGCTGAGAGCCTTATAATTGTCAGATTGGTTTCCAAAATCGTTGAGTGCCAAAATGTATTCAAACCAGTGCTTTGAATAAATGTTCAGAGCATGGCTGGTTTTGAATCTATGAGCCCGGTTATCAACGCACTTTCCTGCCTGTTTTATTATTTTCGCTTCCAAAAGCATCTGTCTAAATTCTTTGAATTGGTATCCCTGCTTCAGAGCGAAGGGCTGAATGCTTGGACAAGAGACCATCTTTCCAAGTAAGGCAAAGTCTTCTTCAAGTCAAGCTTGACTCTTGGTGACCTCAGGACCACCTCCATGCCACAACCTTCCCAAAAATACAAGTGGCTTTCTGTTATCTTATATCATGTTTTTCACTTCTCAGTCCATTTTATACCTCTTGAGATTTGTCCTCAAGCTCTAATTCAGTCTCCGAAGTCTGCTTACTTTTTGAACCTAACCATGGTTAATCAGATGCTGCCCCCTGCTGCTTAATCTTTAAGAAGAGCCTCTTAACCTCACAAAAAAAGAGGTTAATGGGGCTTTGTATACTATTGATAAATGGACTTATCTTGAGTTGAGTTCTGAGTCAGTAGTTGACTCCTAGTGACTGTCTGGATAAAGCCTTGCAGTTTTCTTGGCAAGATGTCAGAAGTGGCCATTGTCTGTGTCAACGCGCCTAACATCAGATGTTTTTACTTTGCCAACAGTTGGAGATGCAACCATTTTCTTCTTATGTTTTACTTTTAGAATTAGAGGTAGAGTTAGATGATGTTGGGAGGAGGAATGTGCATGTGCAGTTCAGCTAGACATAATAATACTGGACCTAGTGTGTGACCCAAGGTTATTGAAATAAGAGATGATAAGAATTGAAGGGGCTGGAGGTCTGGAGAGAAAGCCTGCATTTCAAACTAATTGGAGAATGTGATTTATGACAGTTAATTGGAGGAAGGAATTGTGCTTTGATACTATGTGCTCAGGGGAGGGGAATCCAGTTTTTGGCTTGACTGTGTTAGCTGATACTATGCTTCTCAAATAAAGATTCTTTAAGGTAAATAATGCCTCGAAGATCTTTGAAGAGTTTCCTCTGTCGGAATCATGACAGTCTGCTTCCGAGGGCGGAGAGAGAACAGAGAAAGAATGACTGGCCCAAGGTCACCCATCTGGCTTTGTGCCAAAGGTGGGACTAGAACTCATGATCTCCTGGTTTTTAGCTTGATGCCTTAACACAGGGGCTTTCAAACCTGGCCTTTTTATGACTTGTGGACTTCAACTCCCAGAATTCCTCAGCCAGGCATGCTGGCTGAGGAGCTCTGGGAGTTGAACACAAGTCATAAAAGGGCCAAGTTTGAAGATCCCGGCCTTAACCACTAGACGAAACTGGCTCTCACTTCACCAGTAGAAGTTATCTGGCATACAGGTAGTCCTCATCTTACAACAGTTCATTTAGTGACCATTCAAAGTTACAGCAGCACTGAAAAAGGTGACCTGATCATTTTTCATGCTTACAACCGTTGCAGCATCCCCGTGGTCATGTGAACAAAATTTAGACACTTGGCAACTTGATTCATATTTATGACGGTCGCAGCACCCCAGGGGTCACGTGATCCCCTCTTGCGACCTTCTGACAAACAAGGTTAACGGGGGAAGCAGGATTCACTTCCCAACTGTGTGACTAACTTAATAACTGCAGTGTTTCACTTAGCAGGAAAGGTTTTAAAATGGGAGGAAACTCATTTAACAAATGCCTCACTTAGCAACAGAAATTTTGGGCTCAATGGCGATCATAAGTCGAGGACTACATTTATAAGAAAATCCTCCTGTCTGTCTCTTCATCTCGATCACTATTTCCATCTATCACCTTCCCCATTTGAGGTATAATATATGGAAATAAAAAAATGAAAGGTGGTTATGACTGAACCGTGTTCCCCATGTGCTAGAATTGTGGCTTTGGTTGTGTGTTTGTGACCACCATCTTAACTACGCTCCTTCCCTAAAGAAGATGGTGTCCTAAATTTCCTAGATCTTCCTTAAGGACGTCTGGACAGAGAGCAGGCCAGGAGTGAAGAATCTTTTAATTCCACTGTTACAATAAGCCTATGTTTCCCAAAGTTTCATTGCATTGTTTTCATTGTTCATTTGTTTCTCCTTGTTGTAGTTTGGATTGTAGAAGACTTGTGAGCCTTAAGATTATACTAAAGGCAGGTGTAATGGCAAAAAGTTTAGAAACCAACCAGGTTTGGCTAGAGAATTGAGGGATGTGAGTTCCACACATCTTAAAGTTGTCAGAATTGAGAAACACTCATTTATAGGATATCCTGAAGGAGTATGATATCTGAGTGCCCTAGTTATCTGGAGCAGGAGCTTGCTAGATTTCATTTCCTGCATATATAATTTCCTTAAATAATGTTGTGGTTGAATTGGAACTAGGTGGCCATACCACACAAAAATAAAGATTTTCTGGAGATGAGCTCCATCCTCAGGGATTTCACAAACACCTCCAAATTAACATTCTTGGGAAATTGTGGAACTGGTTTGCCGTTATCTTCTTCCAGGATCTTCTCTGTAGACTTCAGATTCATTGGTGACCTTTAAATTATTCAAATCCAACCCTGTTTAGCTTTTTTCAAAAATCAATCAAGGTCAGCTGAGTGCCATCATCTTTCTTCCTGCAGCCAACTGTGATTTGTAGGCTCACTCTGGCTGTAAAATGTGAGCAGTTTCCACAAACTGGTAGAGATAATCTTGTTCCAAGTGGTTAATCAGTTTTCAGCTAAATACTATTTACCAAAGTTTAGGAATTCCCTATTAGCTATTTTGCCTATTTGCTATGAAATCTGCCCAGATTTAACTATTTGTATTTAATTGTGCAGGGTCTTTTCTTCATCTGGCACTTCTTCCTTGTCTTAATTAACATTTTATTTCCTACAGCTAAGTCACCCCAATCACTTTGGGTTAATGCAAATTAATTGTACAACCTGGAAATTGTTTAAGCAGGATTACCAGCAAGAGCATTTGCTGTTGAAAAGTTAATTAAATTGTGGTCTCCTGAGCCATGTTGCTTCTTTTTAAGAAGAAGTTACTAAAATGAATCCAGACCCTAGAATTCAAGTGGATATGTGACAGAGATGACCTACAACAGAAATGATCAACCTTGGCAACTTTAAAACTTGTGGACTGAGTGGGGAATTCTGGGCGTTGAAGTCCCCAGGTCTTAAAGTTGCCAAGGATCAACCAACCTCTAACACAGGGGTCTTCAAACATGGCCCTTTTAAGATTTGTGGACTTCAACCCCCAGAATTCCTCAGCCAGCATGGCTCAGCTTGGAAACCTCTCCCTTTCCCCTCAGCGTGCCTGGCTGAGGAATTCTGGGAGTTGAAGTCCACGAGTCATAAAAGAACCAAGGATGTCTACCTCTGGCCTAGGCCTAGGCCGCTTTATGACTCGTGGACTTCAACTCCCAGAATTCTTCAGCCAGCATGGCTCAGCTTGGAAACCTCTCCCTTTCCCCTCAGCATGCCTGGCTGAGGAATTCTGGGAGTTGAAGTCCACAAGTCATAAAAGAGCCAAATTTGAAGACCCCCTGCTCTAACATCACTAGCTTTCCTTAAATATTTATCCATAAGTATATTAAATAAATATGGGGACCTTACATTACATTTCCTGTTCAGTTATCAATATATCCTCTTATTCTATTCATTTTCATGCATGCTTTATTTTTAACATCTAACATGGAAGCCTTAAGAATCAATGGGCTGTATAAAAATTAGTGTTTTCTGTAACATGTTACATTATTATTGCTGATGTGGCCAATACCAGCTACTCCGGTATATATTTGATATAATTGTTTGCTTACTTCCAATCACTGACTATTTAGCATTTTAGCAGAGCTGTAGCTAAATCTGAAGTCTTAACGGGTTGTAGGTTAAACCGGTCATTATACCAATGTACTGTCCCTGGCTGCTTAGTTTACCTGGTTCTACTCTTTTTTATATAGGATCAAGCATGAAAATATTGTGGCCCTGGAAGACATTTATGAGAGTTCAAGCCATTTGTATCTGGTTATGCAACTGTGAGTATTAATTTTAATTAATCTTTTTTTTTATCAAATTGGCAATATGTACATAATGCATGTCTATGCTGAGATCCTATAAAACTCTGGAAACCGTCTTTCCTTCAAGATAATTTTTTGTGGAATTCATTTTGGAGAACTTCACTGTAAAACCCAACATCTGGACATGGTTGGAATGGAATGGAATAGAATAGAATAGAATAGAATAGAATAGAATAGAATAGAATAGAATAGAATAGAATAGAATAGAATAACAGTGTTGGAAGAGACCATGGAGGTCTTCTAGTCTAATTCTGTTATTCTGTTATCTTGAGCAGGAACTATAAAACTCACTATAATAAATAAATCCACAATTATGATGGGTCCCTCTTGTGCAAGTATGCAGATCCATATTTCATGTGCCATTTTTTTCTTCTATGGTGGAACCCCAAAGAGTCAGATCCCTGGTTTGTGATAGCTCAGTCTTTGGAAATATGTGCGGTCTGTGTTTTGGCTCCGTGTCTCAATAGTCTCTTGACTGCTTGCTTAATTATTTCCATATCACCTCCCTGAGAATGGTTTGTAAAGGTATCATAGATATTCTCATCCATACATAAATCTGAATTCCATATGATATACTCATGGAGAATTTCTGTCTCCTTCCACATAACTCATTTTTTCCTGCAGCGCATTAAGAAATTAATTTACAGGGTTATCCAAACAGGGTTACCGAGATCTGTAAAATCTTTGTAATATTTTAAGGCCTGTCTTGCAATGAATATATTTAATTCTGCGTGCAGCTTCTCTTGCTGTGAATCTGGGGACAAAGTGTTCTGTTCTTGTCACTTCATTCATTCATGGTTGTGTACAGCTGCTGCTTTGTAAGTGCTAGATTGACTAATGTTTTGGAGACAAAATAATAAAATATGGTAATATGGTACAATATCAGTAGGGACTGAAGACAAGTCTTTTCTCGGTAATAGATGTTTTTATCCTGAAGTACAAAATAGGTGGATAATAGATTGTGATAGAATATTTGTATTTAAAGGTTGAATTGTGGGGTCCTTGATGCTATCCCAGCTTGGTGGTTTTCCTGCAGATATTTCATGTATGATAATATAAACCTTTCTCATATTCCTTGTTGTTATTTCGATTTCAGTATAGGATGGGTCTTTATTCGGGACAACTGTGTCAAAAAAAATCAAGGGGGGCAGACAAAGATATGGATGGATGGATAGATAGATAGATATGAATAGATGGGTAGATGGATAGATGGAGGATGAATAAATGGATGGATGGATGGATAGATAGATAGATAGATAGATAGATAGATAGATAGATAGATAGATATAGACAGACAGACAGACAGACAGACAGATAGATAGGTAGATAGATGATAGATATGTAGATTGATTGATAGATAAATAAATGGATGGATGGATAGAAAGATATGAATAGATGGGTAGATGAATAGATGAATGATGAATAGATGGATGGATAAATGGATGGATGGCTAGATCAATAGATATAGATGGATGGATAGATCAATAGATATCAATGGATGGATGGATAGATAGATAGATAGATAGATAGATAGATAGATAGATAGATAGATGTATGATGAATAGATGGATGGTTAAATGGATGGATGGTTAAATGGATGGATGAATGGATGGATAGATAGATAGATTAGATAGATAGATAGATAGATAGATAGATAGATAGATAGATAGATAGATAGATAGATAGATGGATGGATGGGGAATAGATGGATGGATAAATGGATGGATGTTTAGATGGATGAGTGGATGGATGGTTTGATAGAGATAGATAGATAGATAGATAGATGCATATTTTATCTATTGATTAATCTTATCACCATATAAAAAATAGAACAAAATAAAATACAGGATCTAATTGAAGGATAAAATAGATAAAATAAAATACAGTAATAAAATACCTATGTGGTAAATATAAGACTCAACATTCAGATAAATAAATCATTCATACAGAATAGTCTGTTTGATGTATGGGTTTTTTGCTCAATTGCTTTAACTATAAATTATAAGTAGTTCTAATATATACAATAAAGCCCAGGAAGAACTAGAACAATCCAAAGTTAAGAGTTTGTGAGTTACGACTCCATGCATGAGAAAATACGTAAAAAGGGGGATAGGCCTTGATCTTGCAGTCACAGACAACATTTTGCCTTTTTAAAATCCCTTTTCACTGATTTCTTCCCAGCCATGATTGGATTCTAATACTTGATTGATTGTGCTAATGATTCCTCCATCTGTGCATAGGATAGGGAGAAAATCAATTTTGTTCCATATAAAAATTACAGGAAAGTTTTGTTCATATAACAATTCAGATCAAAGTAAAGAACTGCCTTATGTAAACCCCTTTTCTGGATAGCTGGCTGAGCTACTAGTTACACTCTCCGACATCCCAGACAACAAAGCATGCTGGAGGGAGGCAAACTGGGTTAAAATTATCTCGTGATAGTACTGGTGAGGGTGAATAAAGGATACTATTTCGTTTCCAAGGCCAGCTAGATTCACAAAGCAAAAGGCTGACCTATGAAACATCAGGAATACACCAAAGGCTCTTATCTATATTTAGTTAGCTTTTGAAAGCCTGCATGATTTGTGGTCTTCTTGCATTGTGTATCTGTTTGTCGCAGCCCATCTCAGCAGTCTTGGCAAGGGGAAGACCAGTACAGTGCTTGAAAAGACATTGCTGTGGATGCTTCATTTGTGAGGTTAAACCCCAATATTTCCACAATTATCTATGGAGATTCTCAGTCATCCAGGTCATGGTTGTCCCAAAGGTGCTTTTTCAAAAGGCAACTGGACTTTGTTTTTCCTTGAAGAGCTTTCGCTTCTCATCCAAGAAGCGAAATTCTGTTCAGTGAAATGTCTGCAAGCAAAAACCAAGGAAGTCCTGCTAACATCGGATGTTTTGCTTTGACAACATCTAGAGATGCAACCATTTTCTTCTTATGTTTTACTTTTAGAGTTAGATGATGCTGGGGGGGGGGAGGAATGTGCATGAGAGTCTAGCTCAGTGGTTCTCAACCTGTGGGTCGGGACCCCATTTGGGGTCGAATGACCATTTCACGGGGGTCGCCAAACCATGCTGTCCGCCATTTTTTCCCTTTTCCCTAGCTGTCCTAATCCCTCTTATTGGTGGCCACACCCACTTGGGGGTCACCACAACATGGGGAACTGTATTATGGGGTCACGGCATTAGAAAGGTTGAGAATCACTGGTCTAGCTAGACATAATAATACTGAACCTAGTGTGAGAACCAAGTGTGAGAACCAATTGTGAGAACCAAGGTTATTGAAATAAGAGATGATAAAGAATTGGTGGGCTGGAGAGCTGGAGGGGAAGACTGCATTTCAGAGGTTATTGAAATAAGAAATGATAAAGAATTGGTGGGCTGGAGAGCTGGAGGGGAAGACTGCATTTCAGACTAATTGGAGAATGTGGTTTATGACTGTTCATTGGAGGAGGGAATTCTGCTTTGATACTATGTGCTCAGGGGAGGGGAATCCAGTTTTTGGCTTCGATTGTGTTAGTGCCGATGCTCTGCTTCTCAAATAAAGATTCTTTAAGGTAAACAATGCCTCAAAGTTCTTTGAAGAGTTTCATCTGTCGGAACCAGGACACCAGTTGTCTTTTGAAAAAGCACCTTGTCCTTTGGGATAACCATGACCTGGATGACTGAGAATCTCCATAGATATTTAGCTATGCCAGAGCTGAAGAAGCTTCTTGGATGAGAAGCGAAATGTCTTCAAACAGTCCAGTTGCCTTTTGAAAAAGCACTTTGGGGACTTCCATAATTACTGCTTTTATGATGCAGGTTCACCGGGAAGGGTCTAACAGTTAAGCAAGGGTCCTGAAATAACTCTCACAAATATTTGAGGTTTGTCTGGAAAAGTCCCAGGGATTTTTCCATACACAAGAAGATGAATATATAATGGTTTCTATCCCTGATGCTTCATGTTGGTCTTTGCTGGGAATCCCTTAGAATTAGAGGCTATTTTAAATTTTGGGGTTTTTTTTAACGGTTATTTTTGCATTTCAGTTCTTCTGAAGTGCTGCGAAGTCCCTTGCTTCCATAACAGGCAAAAAAAATTGAGAAATGCAAGTTTAAATCATTAAATGAATCAATGTGAAATATTTGTAGCTCAGAGTTGAAATGAGGGGTCCTTGGTGCTCTCTGAGCTTTGTTGTTTTCTTGCAGACATTTCATTACCCAAAGTAGGTAACACCATCAGTCTAGAAGGGAGTGGGGTTTGGAGAAAGAGGACGAGGACGAGGACGAGGAGAAGGAAGAGGGGTGTTGGGTCCTTGGTGCTCTCTGAGCTTTGTTGTTTTTTTGCAGACGTTTCATTACCAACTAAGTAACATCATCAATGGGAGGAGGAGGACTGTGGGGTCCTTGGTGCTCTCTGAGCTTGGCTGTTTTCTTGCAGACATTTCATGACCCAACTAGGGGACATCATCTGTACTAGTGATGACCCTAGCACTGATGAAGTTATCTAGTTGGGTCATGAAAGGTCTGCAAGAAAACAACCAAGCTCAGAGAGCACCAAGGTTCTTCTCCTCGTCCTCCTCGTCGTCCTCGTCCTCTTCTTCCTCCTCCTCCTCCTCCTCCTCCAAACCCCACTCCCTTCTAGACTGATAGTGTTACCCAGTTTGGGTAATTAAATGTCTGCAAGAAAACAACCAAGCCCAGAGAGCCCCAAGGAGCCCCTCAATGTGTTTATTTCGGTCCCTAAATATACCGTATAAGTGACTGAACAACCGTAATGCCATTTTTTTGGGGGGGGGTTTGCTTTTAATAAAATGGATGAAATAGCAAATATAACCTTATTTTTAGCCACAAGTATCTCTTGTAGAATTTAATAGTCTGTTGGGTATCACAACATTTCTGTCGGGGAGCCTTTTCTTCCTGTAATTTTGACACTGTAAAACAGGGGTTCTCAACCTTGGCAACTTTAAGACTTGTGG